GGGCGGAGGGAGGCAGAGCCCTGGGAGGTAAAGGCGGAGCCAGGGGGCAGAGGCGGGGCTCGGGCCCAGAGGCGGAGCCCAGTGGGGGAGGCCGAGCCTGGTGGGGGCGGAGGGAGGAGCCCGGGTGCGGTGGTGGTGCCCGAGGAGGAAGCGGAACCCGGATGGGCGGAGGCGGAGCCTGGGTGAGAGAAGGCGGAGCTCGGGGTTGGAGGCAGAGCCTGGGTGGGCAGAGGCAGAGCCCGGGGGAGGAGGGAGGCGGAGCATAGGGGGAGAAGGCGGAGCCCGCGGGAGGCGGAGCCCAAGGGGCGGAGGCGGAGCTCGGGGTGGAGGCGGAGCTTGGGTGGGCGGGGGAGGAGCACAGGCAGCGCCCGCCCCACACCCTTACCCGGATTCTCCGGGTCTCAGCCTACCAAGATGAAGTAGTCCACTAGCAGACCCATGACTGCCACCATCGTGCCCAGGAAGCGATTTTCCGTCGCCAACCCTCACCGCCGCCGCCGCCCACCAGGCCCAGGATGAGCTCAGCTTTTTCCCTTCAGTGTCTGTAGCCATAGCTACGGTGCTTCCATCGCGCTTGACAATTGAGGCGCGCACTGTGCCTGCGCTGCGCCTGGCGAAAGCCCCTCCCCCGTCCCACCGGAGAGGGCTAGGCCTTCTGGGTCGGGGCACTGTGAGGCCTGAAATTTACTATTAATTACACCGGACAAAAGGATCTTTGAGATAAGTGTACCTCAAAGCATTTCTCTCCTGTTTTCAAACCCCTTGTCTTAGTTACTTTTCTATCACTGTGCTAAGATATCATGACCAAGGATGCTTACAGAAGTAACATTTGGTTGGGTACCTAGAGTTTCAGAAGGTAAGTTCATGACCATCATGACAGGGACCATAGTGTCAGACAGGAATGGCAGGCAGAGAACCAGACAGAACAGTGGATCTGAGAGCTTACATCCTGATCCACAAGTTTGAGGCAAAGAGCTAACTGAAAAATAATGTGGGATTTTAAAACTTCAAAGCCCACCCATAGTGACACACCTCTTCAACAAGATCACACTTCCTAATTTTTCCACCAAAGGGGGACCATATTTTCAAACATATGATACTGTAGGGGTCATTTTCATTCAAAGAACTACACTCCTCAATAGCTTCCTACGTAGCCAAGAATTAAGATAAAAAATTTCAATGTCCCAAAGCATCCCAGGCAGACTCTTGTGTGCTGTTGTTGTTGCTGCTGTTACGTTTTTGAGACAGATGTTCTTTCTGTAGACTGTCATGTGATCTTCTTGATAATACCCTTTGGTTCACTATAGTATTTTACTTTGATGAAGTCCAAACTTTTATTGATTTTCTATGATTTTTATTTCATATCTAAGTATTCACTGTTGAATTTAACATCATGAAGATCTACTTCTATGTAAGCTACACATAATTATAGCTCTTATATTTGGGCCTTTGATCCATTTGGGGTTGACTTTGTAATGGTAGGGTTCTCATTTTACCTTTTTTTAAAGATCTATGTTTATTTTCTCAGTGTGTAACTCTCTGTGTGTACATATGTATGTGTGTATCTGTGATGACCAAAAGAGGGTGTTAGAGCCCCCAGAGCTGGAGTTAGAGGCAATTGTGAGCTACCCAGCATAGATGCTAGGAACTGAACTTAGTTCTTTGGATGAGAATCAAGTTCTCTTAACCA